GTTTGTTTATTTGATTGTAGGTTTGGAGAGCTCCAGTGGAAAAACTGTTGATTTCCATGACAAATGTGAAATAAATATATTTTGTTAGGTTTGATTGTGTTTGTGCCAAAACCTTGTTTTCTGAACAAAAGGAAATGGGTGTGTTTAAGAAAGGTTCAAGTTCAGGTTTTAAAAAAGAACTGAGTTTGGGGATCTTGAAACCCTTTCTTGAGGAAAAGCCATTTGTAACAAACTACAAAGGGATTACCCAGAAGAGAAGGAGCTGGAAGTAGGAAGAGCTTGTGTAGCAAGACACAGTGAGAGCTACAGGAGAGGAGAGAGTGGGGCATGGGGGTGGGGGAGGGGGAGGCAGAGCGAGGCATGCAGAACTTTGGAAGCTGTGTGGGTGATCTGGGCTTTATCCAGACAGTGGGAAACTGTGAAAGTTTGGAGGAAGCAATATGATTAGAATGTAAAAATACTGCATTATCAGTAAGATAGAGAAAGGGCTGAAAGAGCACGAGACATATTAGGACCTACTGATTGATGATCCTTACTTCACTATGGGCTTATACTCCCACAAATCTATTGAAAACTGAAATTAAGTCCAAATGCAGTTAATGCACCTAACCCACGTGACATCACAGCCTCATGATACAGCACACTGTTGGGTACCAGGGCGAGGGCAGGTGGAAGCAGGAAGGAAAGAGGGCAGGGAATGAGAAGGAATGGATTATGGCACGTATTGATATATTGCCAACCTGGTAAAATGTCCACATTGAAAACCTGTAGTATGTTTTCTATTGAATGCCGGTCACTTTTGAAAAATCCCAACTCACACTGTAAGTCAAGGACCATTTGTGAGTGTGGACCTTCTGTACTGGTGCTAATCCATGTGAGGATCATGTTGGATTTAGTTGGAGGAGGAAGGAAAAAGAGATCGAGATGAGAAATAGTGGTAGAGGGAGGTATAGCAGGACCTGGTGAGGCTGGCTACACTGTCGTGTTAGACCACACCTCTGTTCTTCACACACACACACACACAGATGTTTTTAGTCATCTCCATATTTGTTGTTAGCTTGTGTTTTTTAAATTTATACTTAAACTCATTTGAGTAAACTCCAACTGGATGGCGACGAATGATCGTAAATATCAGAAAATATTTTCTAACTATTGTGGTGACATATGGCCCTATAATTCTGGATTTCATAATACAGCAGTTTGACTTCTGTCTCACTTGCTTGGATAATGCTGTGCTGTTAAGAAAACTGAAATATGTTTTTAAACTATGACAGCCTTCAGTTTCTGGATGTCCACATTAAAAACAGCAAAAAAGCAAAACAATATCATGGGTTTCAAAGAAGCATGATGAATGCAAATTTCTCATCTACAAATTTTGCATTATATTTCTATCACTGTAATTAGCTTATTTTTAGGCAAAAAGGGTTTGGTTTCCTGCCGCAAGTTCATTTTAGTGATTGTTTCTCAGAGTTACACAGAACATGAACTGGAGGCAGAGGATGGAGGTCCGATGTGTGCCTTTCTTCCTCGGGCTGAAAGCTTGGTTTATCTCTGGGAGGCTGGTCTGCTCAGCACAGTAAAAGTTATTTTCCCCTGTGCGCCAGAAACTTGGGCTTTTTAAGCAGCTAGGTTTTTATGTACTTCTTTTATTGTCTTCTAAAGAGCAACGAAAGGAGCAGAAGGCAGCCATTCACAGACCAAGGGAGGCACGTCTTTGCCTTAGAATGCCAACACTGAGCACAAGGCCCGGGAGCTCAGGCATTCCTTATGGAAATCCCTAGTCTCGACCCACTACTTCTTAATTTCCTCCTCCTCCTCTTCTTTTTTCCTCTTCCTCCTCCCTTTTCTTTTTCAAATATAAGCTGAGTCTTTTTATTATTTTTATTTCATTTTATTTTTGTGTATGATGTTTTGCCTGCATGTATATCTGTGTACCACTTGAATGCCTGGTTCTTGGAGACTAGAGGGGGACAGTCAGTCTCCTGGACCTGGAGTTACAGGTGGTCTGAGCCGTTGAATCATGTCCTTTCAAGAGTAGAGAGTGTTCCTGACTAAGTGCTGAGCTCTTTCTCCAGCTCCATTTCCTGGTTTCTTGTTTTCATGAGAAATTGAAAAAATAAAGTGAGGTGTGCTCTTTTAGTTTTCCAAGCATGAAAATCCCTACCACTTAACAATGGAATCATGTATCTTGGGCAAGGCATGCTTCGAGTGGTTACAGATTTGAAGCATTTGACATGAGGAGCTGGGTTATGTTGAGTGTCAAGAAAACTTACTCAAAAGAAGAGGAGTTTTGAAAAGATTCCAGTGTGTGTCAACTAGAAAAATACATTGAACTTGAACTTCCAGGAGTTGGCAGGTATTTCTGTGGGAAAGCATGTGTAATGCCCTGGGTTCTATTTCTGGCATGTGTACATGAACACACACACACACACACACACACACACACACACACACACACACACACACACACACACGCAAATATAGATGCAACAGAAAGTTTTTTAAAATTCAGTATTTGAGCTGTAAAACTACATAAGTAAAAATACGAGAAGTTCCTGATAAAACTGTAAGCTCTAAATCATTCTTTTTTTTTTTTTTTTGTTGGTTTTTTTCGAGACAGGGTTTCTCTGTAGTTTTGTGCCTTTCCTGGAACTCATTTTGTAGACCAGGCTGGCCTCGAACTCACAGAGATCCTCCTGCCTCTGCCTCCTGAGTGCTGGGATTAAAGGCATGCGCCACCATCGCCCGGCTCTAAATCATTCTTATTTGTTGTTTTTCAGTTCTTCGACTAAGGTCAAGTGTAAAATCTTCCTTATTTATAAAACCAAATGACCACGTAAGAGTATTTTATCCCAAGGAAAGGAACTAAACACTGACCCCTGTAGTAGAATATTGTTTTAAGGTGTGTCACTTTTGTTTATGTTGCATTTGTTTAACTCTGTGAAGCTGTGTTACTGTGCCTGTCTAAAATACCTGGTGGTCTAATAAAGATCTGAATATCGAGGCAGGAGGGAGAAATAGGTGGGGCTGGCAGGCAGAGAGGATAAATAGAAGGAGAAATCTGGGAAGAGAGGAAGAGAAGACGGAGCAAGAGGAGGAAGATTCCAGAGGCCAGCCACCCAGCCACCCAGCCACCCAGCTACACAGAAAGCCACGGAGTAAGAGTGAGATTTAACAGAAGTTAGAGAATGGGAAAAAACCCAGAAGCAAAAGGTAGATGATATAATTTAAGAAATATTGGCTAGAAACTAAGCCAAGCTAAGGCTGGACATTCATAATTAAGAATAAGCATCCATGTGTGATTTATGTGGGAGCTGGGTGGTGGGACGCCCAAAGAGCCCCCCCCAATCCCAACAACAGACCCCTAGCTACTATACTCAGATGGAGGGCCTTCCAGCATGTTTATACAAGTCAATTTTGGTGACATCTTCCTAAAGAAAGGAAGGTGTCGTAGGAAGGATTAAGGGGATCCTCAGAGCAGGAAAAAGCGTGGAAGTGAAACTGGGTATCACCTTCTCCTGGAAGGCAGCAAATATGTCAGAAGGACTGGCCTAGTAAGCCAAGGATACAGGCAGGCGGGCCTGTGGGTCAAACCTGCCAGCCCATCACTAACCCCGGGCTTTGTTCTCTTCCTTCTGAGCTCCTTTGTACGGTCATGATAGCCTACTCTCCCTGAGGACCACTGTCTGCTTACCTAGATTTCATTTGTCATCTGCTCTGTGCTGGACAGGACAGTTGTTACAACTTTGAGGACACAGGTCATCCCTCATAGTAAGCAGATTTAGATGATGTTACCAAATTAAATGCACTGGGACACTGATGGCTAAACCAGACAGATTTACCTTTTTTTTCCATCTGTTTTTATGATACTATCCTAAATGAAAAAGAATATATCCAATATAAGTTCAAGATGTTCAAATTTGAGATGTTTGTGTTATTGGAGCCTTAAAAATTTTTGTTGTCCTGATGACTTCTATAAACATGACTTAGGTAAATAGCGGTTGTTATTATTATTAATGTGTTTTTGTGTTACTGGGGATTGAACCTAGAGCCACATTAAGTGCTAGGTAAGTACTCTACTACAAAGCTATATTTCCTGACCCCTTTGTCTGTTTTACTTTCATTCCTTTTGAGACTGTCTCACCAAGTAGCCAAGGCTAAATTTGAACTCACTTCATAGTCTAGACAGGCCTTGAACTCCTTGCTGTCCCCATAGCTGAGATGACAGCCCTGGCAGGTCTGGCCTTTGTGGGTCCTTTAGGGCCAGTGTGTGCTTGTTATCTTATTACATAGGGTTATTTTTCAGGCGCTTAACGCAGTGCAGCCCCTCCCATCAAATGTTTTAAATCTTTAACCATCACAAGCATGCTTTAGCCAAAACACATGACTCCTCTGTCAAGTATTAGGGGTTGTAGTTCATCAACCGTGGAAAAGCCAAGGCAGCAAGAACCTAAAGCAGCTAGACATACCATACCTACAGTCAAGGGAAGACAGCTATGCTTTTAGACATGAATGTTAGTGCCCAGGTGGCTTTCCCCACTCATCTAGTGTAGAATTCCATGCCCAGGGAATGGTGCCACCCATAGTGATCAAATTTTTCCTCCTCAATTACCAGAATCAAGATAACCCCTCAAAGACATGCTCCAAAGACATGCAACCAAATCAGGTTGAGACTGAGACCCTTCCCAGGTGACTCCTGGTTGTGTCAAGTTGGCAATTAACACTCATCCTCACTGAGGAAGTCAACCAAACAACACCCAGGACTTAAGAGCTCAAGAGGTTTTGATCATGTATTTTCTGTAACCCAAGGATTACTTGATTTCACTCATTTCCCCCAGATTGCACTTAGATCACTGGCATCCCATTCTGGGTTCATTACATGACAACTCATTCTGTTTCTAAATTCCTTGTCTGTGCTTATTTGATGAACTCGGTTTCAGACTCCTCTGACACTGCCTTGAACTGAGAGAACAGCATTTCTTTCTCCCTGCTGTGCACAGTGCTGCCGCAGAAGCCGATGCCATCGACCCGCTGATCAACATCCTGTCGAGCAAGCGGGACGGAGCCATCGCCAATGCTGCCACGGTGCTCACCAACATGGCCATACAGGAGCCTCTGCGCACCGTCATCCAGAACCACGAAGTGATGAACGCGCTGCTGGGTCCGCTGCACTCCACCAACACTGTGGTGCAGAGCACCGCGGCGCTTACTGTGGCTGCCACTGCCTGCGACGTGGAGGCCCGCAACCAGGTGAGGTTGAACTGGTACATGGTTTGGAGTCATTCCATCTGCTCAGAGAGCTACCCAATCTTCTCTACCTGTCCTCATTCCTGTTGGCACGGTTCCTTCCTACCCATCTACTAGGGCGTCCAGCTAGCCACTGGGTATTTATTTACCTACTACTCTGTGCCAGGCACTGTGCTGAATGTTGGTAGCATGGTACGAAGTGACAGCCCTGTGGCCATGCTATCCTGTGCTTGCAGAGGGGTCTAGCCTGTAACACTGCAGTAGATTCTTTCATGTCTTCCCTCTCCATACTGACCCTCCTTATACCATTGCAAGGTCCCAGTGGGTAAGAGGGAAGCTGGTGGGTTTTATATACAAAAACCCTACATGACCTGCACCTGTTGCCCAACAGCCCAAGCGACTGCATTTCCTAGAACGCCACAATACAGAAATACCCGCTCTCCATAAGTCCATGTGAATGTACACTCTTCTTTTACCTCCTCCGTTTCTCTGCATGGAAAGGTGGTTTCCCCTTTTATCCACCTGGTAAATTTCTCTTCTCATTCAAAGCCAGCTCTACCACCTCCTCCACCTGCCTTTCTCCAAGCCGGCCAGCTTGGCTGATCCATTCCCCCCCCCCCCCCAATATCTTTCCTTGTTTTCCTACTCTGCATTTTATGGTTCTTGAAGGAAAAATTATAAACTCCTTCAAGCTTTGGGGAAAGGAAAGGAATTTCCTGCCCAATGTCCATGTTACACTACAACGTCCATGATACATAATGTTCATTTACGTATTATTTATCTACAGGTTTTCACTGTATATCCAGGGTTAGCCTCTGGCCTGGAGCTCACCATCCTTCTCCCTCTATTTTCCAAGAGCTGGGATTACAGATGTGGGCCTCCACGCCTGACTTTTGTAATGCCTATTTAATGAATAGCTGTTAAATAAATGAGAAAATGAGTGGATGGAGGAATTAATAAGTTAGCTCTCTGCCAAAAGAACACATGGCATTAGATTTCTATCTTGTTTTATACCCAGAAATAAATATGGTCAGAAAATTGGCTTCCTAAGTATGCCATGCTTCAAATGAATCTGTGAGTCCTGTATGATGAGGTATGGATGTGCTATAGCCCCTGTTTGGGACTTGAGAATGCTTGAAATCGAATCATTGCTCACATGGGCTCTTGACTTTAAATACTGCCTTTGACATTATTTTCTGAAATGTTATTTCCATTTTCTAGACTTAGGAAGTGTAGTATTACATCTCAGACACAAGACAAGTGCTGTTAGTTTTTTGTTTGTGTTTGCTGTTGTTCTTGCCCTTTACTCTTTGGGGGCCTGCCACCCAGTTCCCAAATAAATACATGAAGTCTTATTCTTACTTTTGAATGTCTGGCCTTAGCTTGGCTTGTTTCTAGCCAGCTTTTCTTAAATTATCCTGCCTACCTTTTGCCTTTGGGCTTTTATCTTTCTCTATTCTATACACTTTTCTTTACTTCTTACTCTGTGGCTTGCTGTGTAGCTGGGTGACTGGTCCCTAATGTCTTCTCTCCTTCTCCTTCTTTTGCTTTCTGATCTTTTTCTCCCAGATTTCTCCTCCTATTTATTCTCTCTGCCTGCCAGCCCTGCCTGTCCTTCTCCTGCCTATCTATTGGCCATTCAGCTCTTTATTAGACCAATCAGGTGTTTTAGACAGGCAAAGCAACAACACCTTCACAGAGTTAAACAACTGCAACATAAAAGAATGCAACACATCTTTGTATCATTAAAAAAATATTCCAGAGCATAAACAAATGTAACACACCTTAAAATAATATTCCACAACAAAGCACACTTTCAGATCTTTCTTTTCTCAGTTGGAATTTCATACCTAGAAAATATTTAATGGCATAAATAACATAGCTCCATCCAGCTCCTTTCTTACTCTCTTTTCCTCCTCTATTCCCCAAAAAAGCAATTTTTATATGATAAAAATAACAAAACACAAAATTCCTTTTCTACAGAACTGTTCCAGCACAGCTTTGGCTATGCTTCTGACCTAGGCTGTGGTGTGCTGTGGGTAGGTAGTATTTGCCTACTTAGAGAAACAGTGAGCTCTGGCCACAGTGTGTGTGTGTGTGTGTGTGTGTGTGTGTGTGTGTGTGTGTATCTGTGTTCATGCCTGTGTGTGTATGCCTGAGTGTTCATGTGTGTGCATGTGTATGTGTGTGTGTGCATTTGTGTGTGCATGTGTGTGTGTTACTTTCCTAGTGCTGCCAGATTGAATTACCAGTGTTTCACAGCTTAAAACAAGAAAAATCTATGACTTTACAGAAACAGAGACCAGATCCCCCAAAATGGGTCTTAGGAGCTAAAACCAAGAAGTCTCCAGTGATGCACTCTCTCTGAAGGTGTTTTTGTTTTTGTTTTGTTTTGTTTTTTGGAGGGGGAGGGGTTACTCAGTTACATTGCCATTCCAGCTTCTAGAGCAGTGGTTTTCAACCTGTGGCTTATGACCGTTTTGGGGGTTGAACGACCCTTTCGAAGGGGTCACATATCAGATAACCTGCATATCAGATACTTACATTACGGTTCATAACAGTAGCAGAATTACAGTTCTGAAGGGGCAACGAAAATGATTTTATGGTTGGGGGTCTGCACAACATGAGGAAGTGTATTAAAGGGTCGCAGCATCAGGAAGGTTGAGAACCACTGTCCTGGAGCCACCTGCATTCTTTGGCTTATGGTCCCTCTTTCCACCTTCAGAGATGATCTCAGCAGCAGTGTACCCCACTGTATCCTCCCTGCTTCCGGCACTCCTGTCTTCCTCCTGTTGGAATCTTTACAAGGACACTGAGACTGTTTGAGAGTGCAGTGTCATCTCCAGTCCCAGCATCTTTATCACATGTACAAAGGCATTTGCAGGGGTAAGGGGACACATCTGTGTCTGTCAGAACCAAATGAACCTTCAGTGTTCAGGTGCAGGGTGGATAAGCACAGAGTAACCCTCATACTGCAGAGAGAGGATGGGCTACCCCCACCGTCCCAGGGAAATTCTGAAGAACTCCGCAATGACTGACTTAGAATGGAAAAGTGGATTCTTGTAAAGACTTACTTCCCCCTGGATGTAAGAACTCTAAATTGACACATTCTAAAATTGTCTTTGCACAGTTGAAACCTTTTCGTAGTCAAATCATGAGATTTTTCTAAAGTATGAATGTTGATTTTTCTCTTCCCCATGCCCTGCCGAGGACGGAACCCATGGTTCTAGTCATGGCAGGCAGTGCTCTGCTCATGAACCATATTGACAGGACAGCCCTGGGATTTGCGGATAGGGTCTTGCTCTGTGATACAGGCTGGCCTTGAACTCAGGAGCCTCCTGCCCCAGCCTCTGAGTGCTGAGATTACAGGTGTGGACCGCCAAGCCCCTTTCTGTACTCTTAATGTGTAAATTTTGGTTTCTGATTGTAGTTGAGGATGTGTGGTGGTCTGGAGCCCCTGGTTGAGCTCCTGAACTCCAAGAATGATGAGGTACGAAGGCACGCCAGCTGGGCGGTGATGGTCTGCGCCAGCGATGAGCTGACGGCCGTCGAGTTATGCAGACTTGGGTGAGTAGACGTGCCTTTCGTCTAGCTCAGGCGCAGAACACGAAAGACAACATGAAAGGCCCTTCAGACCCAAGAACCATTGAGTCGAGCTGCACTGTCATTTAGGCTAGCACTCAGGATGTCCACTCGGGGCAGGACATCCTTCAGTGTCCTGTTCACCTGACGATGCCCCACTTTGAGTGTTCCACATTCACTTCCAATGTTTTCTTTTCCACTGCATCCTCAGAAACGGTTCTCTTTCGCCTTTGCCAAACACAATCCTGTTTATCTCCTAGACTCGAGGCCGAAGTAAAGTGGCTGGACCACTACTATTTAACCCCCCCCCCTCCCCGTCCCCGCAACACCAAACCCTTTCACCTGATAATCTGTATTTAATTAGCATCCTTCTCCCATTTCTTCCCACAAGCTGCAGGTGAGCGTAGTTCTCTTTAACATAATAGCAAAAGAGGTGTGAAGGTTTCCACACATTCCCAAGCGTTTGTTCTTGCTACATAATTTTGTTGACAAAATCTAGGGAGGGTCTCATACTCTTTCTGCATTAAATGAGCAAGGAAAGGAAAAGGCAGGGCCAGACTGGCTCACCGCTGTATTCTATCTGGAGTCTTTAGAGAACGGCTAACACCAATGCTCCTCGAACTGTTCTGTGAGACAGAAAGGAACACTACCAAATTCACTCTATGAAGCCAGCATTACCCTAGTTCAAAACTGGATAAGGACGCAACCATAAAAGAAAACAATAGACCAATCGCCTTGGTAAACAAAGGCACAAAAATTCTTCTAGCCTGACTTCAAGAGCATACAAAGAAGATTAGACACTGGGTAGGGTTATAGTGTAACTGAATGTGGTAGTTTGAATGAAAATGGCCCCATAGGCTCACAGGGAGTGGCACTATTAGAAGGTGTGGCCTTGATGGGGTAGGCTTTGTTAGAGGAAGTGTGTCACTGGGATGGGCTTTGAGGTCTCAGATGCTCAAGTCAGGCCCAGTGTGGCATTCACTTCCTGCTGCCTACAAGTACAGATATAGAACTCTCACGCTGCTACCTCTCCAGCACCACGTCTGCCTGCCTACTGCCATGCTTCCTGCCATGATGATAATGGATTAAGCCTCTGAACTGTGAGCCAGCCCCAACTAAATATTTTCCTTTATAAGAGTTGTTATGGTCATGGTGTCTCTTCATGACACTAGAGACCCTAAGACAAAGAGCAAATAAGTGGACTAAAGAGCGGAAGTCACCTGACCATTTCAATCTCTGGAGAAAAGGCATCTGGGAAGGTTCAACATCCCTTCACGGTAAAAGCCCTGAAGAGATTAGAAAATAAAAAAAGGACTAGCCGGGCGGGTGGTGGCGCACGCCTTTAATCCCAGCACTCGGGAGGCAGAGCCAGGCGGATCTCTGTGAGTTCGAGGCCAGCCTGGGCTACCAAGTGAGTCCCAGGAAAGGCGCAAAGCTGCACAGAGAAACCCTGTCTCGAAAAACCAAAAAAAAAAAAAAAAAAAAGGACTATAACTTACTTGTACCAGGCTTTTTCTTTTTCTTTTTGGCCACCAACCAGTTCCCGAATCATGCCTAGCTACTGGCCTAGCTACTGGCCGTTCAGTTCTTTATTAAACCAATCCGGTGCCTTTGGCAGGCAAGACGCGTCTCTATGTAATTAAACACGCATCGTTACATCGTTAAACAAATTCAGCACCAAGAAAAGTAACACACCTTTCCACAGTTACAGTAACGTTCTGTAGCATAAACAAATGTAACACATCCTTGTCTAGTTACAATAATATTCTAAAACAATACCTCAACAGAATTAAGGGAATGTACAACAAGCCTATAGCCAACATCGCTAAGTGGGGAAAAAACTAAAAATCATTATCTCTGAAACCAGGAATAAGACACAGGCAGCTACAGTGACTGTTGAGACTCACAGGGCACAGAGTCTTAGCTAGTACAAAAAAAGAAAGAAAGGAACAAGATCCAAACAGGAAAAGTCAAATTGTCCCTGTTTGCAGACAACTTAATCTTTTATTTAAAAGTTGTTAAATGCTTCACAGAAAAACTCTTAGAACTGACAAATACTTCCAGCAGCTAGCAGGATCTAAAATCAACATCCAGAAATCAGTAGCTTTTCTGTGTGCCAACATTAAACTTGCTCAGAAAGAAAGAGGAGTGAAATGAATCCCACTTACAAGTATATAAAAACTATATCTAGGAATGAACATAGCCAATGGAGTAAAAGTCCTCTAAAATGGAAACTTTCAGACATTGAAGAATGAAGTTGAAGAAGACACTAGAAGATGGGAAGACAACCTCTTAGATTGGCATAATCAATAATGTGAAACCATCTGTACTTCAAAAACAATCTGCATATTGAGCACAGCATCCATCAAAACTCCAATGTCATTCTTCACAGAACTAGAAAAAACAATCCTGAAATTCATGTGAAAGCATAAAAAACTCAGAAGAGCCAAAGCAGCACTAATCACAAAGAGCATTGCTGGAGGTATCGCAATAGTTGATCTTAAATTATACTGCAGAGCCATAGTAACAAAACCTATATGGCACCAAAACAGACATGTAGACCAATGGAATGCAATAGAGGTTCCAGATATTAACCTCCATAGTCACAGCCCTATGATTTTTGACAAAGATGCCCAAAATACACATTGGAGAAAATACAGCATGTTTGACAAATGACACAGGGGAAAATGGCTCTCCACATGTAGAAGGATAAATAGATTCACATCTCTTGTACTGTAGAAAGAACAATTTGAAGGAGGTAGAAGACCTTAATGTAAGACCTGAAACCTTGAAACTGAGATGAAAACAAAACTAAAATACTTCTAAGCATAGGCTCAGGCAAGGACTTTCTGAAAGGGATTCCAAGAGCACAGGAAATAATCCCAAGAATTCACAAATGAAATGGAGTTTCTCATTTGTGTACAGCAGAATGTGGTCCCCAGCATAAGCAGGCAGCCTTCATAAGAGAACAATATCTTTAATAACTACAAAAACATCATAAGGAATTAATAACTAGACCACATAAAAAGCTGCAAAGATTATACATCAGAAGAATCATCCAGTCAATAGATGGGCTAATGAACGGAATAGATAATCCTCAAAAGAAGAAATACAAATTGACTAACAGATATCTGAAAAACTGTTCAACATCCTTAGCCATCAGGGAAATGCAAATTAAAATTATTTTGATATTCAGTTTTAGCCAGTCAGAAAAGGTGACATCAAGAAAACAAAGGACAGGAAATGCTGCTGAGGACATAAGGAATGCTGAGCCCTTATACATAGCTAGAAGGCATGTAAACTCCATCTAAAGGACTGTAAGTAAACACATCACAGAGAGCACGTAAACACATCACAGAGAGCACCCAAATGCTGCTCCAAAATGGTTGAGAAAATAGGCCAGCCTAAAAGTCCATTAACAAACAGATAAAGAAAACGTGGTGATACATACAGTGAGATTTTATCCAACCATTCAGAAATCTACAGTCATGACATCTGAAGAAAAGTGGATAGAACTGGAGATTACTGCGTGGCATTCAGATCTAGACTTAGAATGACATGCATGTTTTTCTCCTCTGTAGAACCTATATTTAAATTATATGTATGTGTGTTCTTACATGTGTGTGTTTAAAGGAGACCCTGAGAGGGGAGGAAGAAACCTTAAAGGAGTGATGGAGGGGGAAAGAGAGGGTAATAGAATACTTGTGACATATAACGTGTTCTATTACAGACAGTAGGGACTCTCTAGAGGGTGGAAGAGAGGCAGCAATAGAGGGGCAAGGAGGATGAGGAAGGCTGGTGAGTGTGTAAATTGAAGTGCCATGGCACATATGTATGAAAAAGTCACAATAGAACCCATTACTTTGTATGACAACCTAAAAAATTAAAGAAATGACAAAAAAAAAAGAATTTTTCCTTAAGAAGTACCCGTCCACCTGTTTTCTGTTACTGTGACAACACCCGAGAAGGGAACTTAAGAAGAGGAAAGATTTATTTTGACTTAGAGTTCCAGATGTTTTTGCTCACGGTTCCTTGGTCTCCTTGCACAGGTCTGGACCTGTGGCAAGGCAGCATATCTCGGTAGGAGCTCACAGTGGGGGCATGGAGGCAAGCAGGGCTGCTCACCTCAGAGAGCTAGGAAGCAAAGACCGGAAGCGGGGCTCCCAAGAACCTTTTCAAGGACACACACCAATGACCTAACTCCCTCCCGCTAGACCCCACCTCACTGCTCTTCTTCCCTCCCAACAGTGCCACAGGCAGACAATCAAGCTTTTAACACAGACATTTATCCAGGCCATGTCCTACCAACTGTTTAAATATGAGTTATTGTGTGGTATTTGTGTTCGCAAAAAGCACTGATTTGTCTTCATAATTCTGTCAGTTTTACTTCGTTTAAAAAGGCAGGGGAGGCACTAACCTTTCCGTCTCAATTCTTCACTCAGGAGTGTAAAGATAGAAATGGGAACTCAATGGCAGTTGGCTTGGAGAAAACAAACAGGTTGTTTTTGTTGTTGTTGTTTTAATTTTGTTGACAGGGCTCTAGATATCCTTGAAGAAATTAATCTATCAGTAAGTCGGAAAAATAAATTCAGTGAGGCAGCCTATAACAAATTGCTCAACAACAATCTTTCCCTGAAATATAGCCAGACTGGCTACTTGTCATCAAGCAACATAATTAGTGATGGATTCTATGATTATGGCCGGGTAAGTGATAGCATTTATTTGTGCTTTACTATGATTTTCCCTTTAATCATGATACCCTTACATTGCTATTTTATAAGCTCCAAACCTCTTTTGTATTTTTATAGATAGAAAAGCGAAAATCATCACTCTAGCCTAGCCGACTTCTTCTGGCTGTAAGATTCTGTGTTCTCATAGTTTTAACTAGGTTCTGTTTTACTAGTAGTTGAAGTCAGCTTGTTAGTTCAAGTCCAGTAACACCCACGGCACACACAGACCACCGGGAAACTGCTCCACAAAAGCTCATTTTATTCAACAGTGAGTAATTTTGAAAGAACTACTATAACATCAGTACGAAGATGCTTCAGGAGAACTGAACACAGGAGCAGGAAACAGAACATGGACACATGGGGCAGTGCTGACAGAGAGAGGGGCTCGAGTCTCTGAAACATTCAATGAAACTATTCTATATAAAGAACATTCTGATTTGTTCACTCTGAAAGTACTATGCTTCTGATGTTGCAGGCTTTGACTGTGTCAACAGAACAAAAAAGATAAAAGATCTCCGCTCCCATGGGATCAAAGGGAGGACCCAGACAACAGCAAATGAGCTAGAGGTGGGTGGTAGGTGAGGGAGAGTAGAACAGAGTCAGGGTGAGGGCATCTACAAAACTATGAGGTGATAAAGCAGAGAGTTGTGCCTGGCATGTCTAAGGAATAGCAGGGTGGGGGACAGTATAGGAACAAAGCTGATAAAGTGGAACAATAGAGATTACTCCAGATGGGTAGAGGAACCCAGATCATACGATTCTTGAAGACCTCTATGAGATCAAGACTTCAGTCTGAAATGGGAAATGGGGCAGGATCCCTTGTAGAGTGATAGGATCTCTTTCAGTTTTAGAAGACTAAAACAGATTTTTTGCATTGTTTTGAAAAGATTATGAAAACTCTCTTAGATTGGAATGGAATCTATAACTTGATCAAAAAGATTTAGAAGTTTATCTAGTCTGCCCTCTTCTCTCAGGCTGAGAAAATTACCCCCGAATCCCTTCTATGCCCTCCCACTCTCAAGCTGATAGCCTCTTTTTCTTTCATTATTATTGTTACATTCATATATATGGATGTGTATGCATGGATGGATGGATGGATGGATAGATGAGTGGGGGTAGGGAGAGAGAGAGAGAGAGAATCTGCTGAGTCCATTTTTGTTGTTTGTGGGTATATGGTTTCAGGGCTGATCACTCTGCACTGGATAACCAATAAGGCGGCTCATCCCTAGGAGAGGTTAGCTCCCCTCTCTCCTAGCAGTCATTGGTTGCCTGTGGTTCTTTGTCTAGAGGTATGACCCCATGAATTTTTCCCCCATTTCTTCTGTGTTAACATGTCTGTGAGTTTTTGCCTGCACACGTATGTATGCACCATGTGTGTTGCGTGCCTGGTACCTGAGAAGGGCAGAAGAGAGCATTAGATCTCCTGAGACTGGAGTCACAGACAGTTGTAAAATGCCGTGCAGGTCCTAGGAAGCAAACCTGGGTCCTCTTCAGGAGAAACAAGTGCTCTTAGCTCCCGGGCCATCTTTCCAGCTCCAGCTTCTCTTTAAATAGGCCCACAATTTTTGAGGAATCAGTTTCAGTTTATGGGTACTTTTACAGGTAAAGTCCTCCCTGAAGTGTGCAGATAAATTTTGGACACAAATACTTCCAGGGACGGTGATAACAGCGATAGTATGGAATAGCTGAGGGTAAGACAGCAAAGAATGTGGGTGAAAGGAGGGAGTGTCTGAAAGCTTCTGGCTCCCGGCTCTAATTGTGTATAGAGATTATCATCTGTCTATCATCTATCTGCCTCTATCTATCTATCTATCTATCTATCTATCTATCTATCTATCTATCTATCTATCTATATCTATCTATCTATCAATCATCTTGTCTGTCTTTCAGTTATCTATCTGCAGTATGTGTGTACATGAATGAATCAGACTCTTCAAACTGTCAGGAACCCTTTCTATCAGCACTCATGTTTAAATCATAGCACATGCAGAGAACCCACTTTTGTGCTCACATTATCTTACAGATAAATCCTGGCACCAAACTTTTACCATTAAAGGAACTCTGCTTACAGGAGCTGAATGATCAACGTGCTATTTTATTAGTCAACAGTAAATCTGACATGTGAGTCTTTGCGGGTAGGGGTGCTTTTAGGCAAGGAAGCATGCAGTTTCTGTTTGTAAATATACAAGTATGTAAAAGTTACCAGTACGGTATCGTCCCAGCTGTATCTAAAACTAAAAATAAGGGCTGGTCCATAAACTCAGCCCGACATGGAACAACCTGTATTTTCCATTGCTTCCATGTTTAACCATTTCCAGTGGATTGGGAAAAATAACCAAAGAATGTAAAATGTAGACAATATTGACAAGTTTCCAGAAATGTGTAGTGGCATGTAATCACCACCCATCATTTTTCTTTAAAATAAATAGATGGTGGAGCTAAAAATTAAAGCCTCATAAAAAAGAAATTACAGGGTCTCACTATGAGTCCAGACTGGCCTTGAAGTCACAGATATCCACCTGCCTCCGCCTCTAAAATGCTGGGATGAAAGGTGTGCATCACCACATCTGGCTTACAAATTTTTGGCTTTTTAAACTGGATTGCTTATGGCACAAGTTGGCTTCAAACTCCTCTTGTAGCTGAGGATGGCCTTGAACTTCTGCCTCCATCCCTGAGTGGATTATAGGCATGTACCACGAGGGGTGATTTACATGGTGAAGAGGATCAACCTCAAGACTTTGTTTGTGCATGCTGGGTAAGCTCTCTGCCAGCTGAGCTACAGCCCCAGCCCCAGTTCAATATTAAAAAAAAAAAGATCCTGTGAATCTGTGTATCTGTATATCTATATACTACCAACACGATATATATATATTTCGTACAAGTATTTCCTGTTCTGGCTTGTGAAAAGTTTTGACTTTATTTTTGTCTTAACCTCTCTTTTATGCTTTTAAAACTAGTATGGTGCCATTGAGGATCTTCTGCAAATATGACTTTCCCAAGGAATCTGTTTTGTAGGACAAAGTTAGTTCTGACAAATTTTAGTTTGTACCTAACTCCAAATGTATAACCTTTTAGTTCTCCACCTCCATCTATGGAGGATAAATCATCAGATGTTGGCTATGGACGAAGCATTTCTTCTTCATCTTCCTTAAGAAGGGCAAGCAAAGAGAAATCCACGTAAGGCCATATTTTATCAACATTCAACTAACCCTCCTAGAGATGAAAGATTGAGGATTTTGTTGTTAGAGTTTTAGATTTTTGGCAACTCAATTCTTTTTCTTATGGTGATATAGCTGCATAATTGTTTTGTAAATTGCTGTGGTAAAGATCTCTGGGGAAAAATTAGGTGTGGAGGACCTGTAATTGAGGTTGACTTTCCCTGAACTGTGGAGGGAATAGGCCCTGACAGTTATAATGGTGATTGAACCCAATAATAATGGGAGAGAAAGGACCTTCTAATAATAAAATTATCTTGTAAATGTAACCTGTTGCCACTGTTAGCATAACTAGAGTAAGATGTGTTCCTTTTAAATGACAAAAAAGAAAAATAGTCTTCGTTTTAGTGCTGGATTTGGGTCTCCCACAGAAGAAAAATCAGAGCCGACATCAGGACGAAACACGGTCCTTAGCAGAGGTACCACCAAAGAGAAAGGTTCAAGGTAAGAAATGCACTGTTTTCTTCTTCCAGTTACAATCATGGCAACTTGTAATTATGCAACAAGGGTCAGAAAGGGAGATAGAGCTTTTGTTTATCCTGTGCTGGGCATGGAACCCCGGAGTCTCCATGGTAGGCAAGGGTGAGCCACAATCTGGCACCTAAAAGTTCTATTTAATAGCTGCCCCTCAGGTCTTAAGTAGCTTGGTGACAGGGAGTTTGCCTAGCAAGTGTCCTAACCCGGGTTCGGTCCCCGGCACTACAAAAGAGGTTTGACTTTTGAGACCTATGCATTGAATGAGGTAAAAACCCTGGGAAGTAACTTGTCTGTTTTTGTTCTGTGCTGTCTTTGAAATGTTTACCCAGAATTTCTCCTACCTTTGGAGAAGTCGGGCTATCTTGGTAACCACTATCAAGTACTACAGTGGCTTCCATTTAAAAAGGACAGTGGAGGCAGCTACTGATGCCCCCCATTCTGCTCCATCGGGATGGGAGGGGCTATCTTCTTCCAGCAGGCCATGTACCTGTGTCCTTTCCTGATCACACTCTCTCCATCTTTTCCTGGTTGTGTCCCTTACCCTTCAGGACAGAAGCAAAAAGAGACAGCCCTTCTGGGTGGAACGATCACAGTGCTCTTTGTGCTTCTTTGGGTTATGTATTCAAAACTCCTATTTGGGTCTGGGGAGATGGCTCCATGGGTGAGACACTTGACTAGTACAAACGAATACCTAGGTTTAAGACCCAGTAGGACATAAACACAGCATGGTGGTTCACTCCTACAATCTCAGCACTCAGGAGCTGGAAGCAGGGGGGGAATCAGAAGTTCGAACTTATCCTCGGCTTCATAGAGAGTTGGAGGCCAGCCTGGGCTACCTGTCTAAGGAAAAGTAGGGGTGGGGGAGAAAATGGTTTGAATTGAAGGAGTCTTTGATTTTTTTTTCAAAATATTCAGAAGGAAAATTCATATGACCTTCAGTTGATTAGTTCCTTTTACGTTGTGTGATTAGTAACAGGTAGAGATAAATAACTCCCACCCCTAGTTGGAAATGTAAGCCCAGCACTTGAGAATTACTTAACTTGGATACCACTCCTGCCCCAGGTTAGCCCCATATTCCTGGCTTGTTTGAATCTGGAACAAACTAAGTTCCTTGTCAATTAGGTAATGAATGTTTCAGTAAGACCTGCAGCTTAATCTTAATATCGTGAGAGTCCAGCCTCCTGAACACAAGATAAAAGATCTGTACCCGTGCATATGAGGATGTGGCATGTTTAGCTAAAGCAACAGTTTCTTTACCTTAAAAGTCGTATATGCCTGTTTACATATCACTAATGACCAAGTGACAAAATTCTGCTAGAAAAATGCAAGAGTAGAACTAAGGTCAAGCAGAAGGAGGGGGTCAGCAAGAGAAGCACTCAGAAAGCCCGACCCCTTGTAAGCTATAGCTGGTTTTGAGGCTTGTCACTACAGGGCCCACAGCTGGGCAGTGGTTGAACTGAGGGACACTAGGCAGCCCCCACTGCCCCCACTCTGACCTTCCTGGACCCTTGGGACTTGGTCTTTCCATTCTTTCTGTGAAACCCCACCCACCCTCATCCAAGCATATTTGGACAGACCTCTTGATCTGCCCCCACATGAGTATGGGTTCTTCAAAGACTGGTCTGCCTTAAGAGTCAGGAGTAGACAGGTGGAGCTCTATGAGTTCAAGGCCAGCCTGGTCTACAGAGTGAGTTCCAGCACAGCCAGGACTGTTACACAGAGAACCCCTGTCTCGAAAAAAAACAAAAACAAAAACAAAAACAAAAACAAACAAAAAAACCAACCAAACAAACAAAAAAGAATGTCCTTTACTGAACTTGCCCTTTGGCACTTATTAAGGGGGAAATTACTAAAGCTAAAAAATATGAAGAGGAACTATTGGAGTCTGGATCATCTTCAAAGTGGGAAGCCTGAGCCTTACTTGAGACTCTTGTACACTTAAGTTTCTGTGAATTCCTTGCAAAGGGGCTGTGGTGACCGTCTAGGGAGATCTTCCCGTTCCTCTTAGAGGATGCACTAGTTGGTTTTCTGTTGGCTTGAATCACCTGGGAAGAGGGAACCAACCTTAGCTGAGAAAATGCTCCAAGCAGATGGACCTGTAATCAAGTTTGTGTTCTTATCAGTGGGTGATGTTGAAGGACCCAGGCCACTGTGGGCCGTGCAATCCCTGGGCTGGTGGTTCTGGGTTCTATAAGAAAGCAGGCTGAGAAAGCCATGAGGAACAAGCCAGGAAGCAGCATTCCTCCATAGTTTATGCTTCAGTTCCTGCCTCAAGTTCCTGTCCTGACTTCTTCCCTCTGTGATGGAGTATGACCTGAGAGATGTAACCTGAAATAAACCCTTTTCTCCCCGACCAAAGGTTGCTTTTGGTCATGATTTCTATCATAGAAACAAAAATCACTAACTGGGACAGAGAGTTGCTCGCGCCTGTCAGTTCCTCTCAGTCCCTCTCAGCTAGTGTCATCCCCTGGGGTACAAATGACAGAAAAGACACTATCTAGTAGCTGGAGATACTGACAAAGCAATGATCACCTATGGGGTGGGGCCAAAGGATGGATTAGGACCAGCTGTTTGGAGGAAGGGTGCTGAACTGGAAGTGGACTCAAGGGATACACCAGGCAGTGCTGTTGTTCAAAGCTTAGACGGTCTTTTAACAAAAATCCCAGAGCCAGATATCAGGGTGAAAGCTGAAAGATCAGAGAAGCAGAACAGCCAGCCACTAGTTTTTACCTCTATGAAATCCTCAGTCTAAAGAGAGTGAGTTCCTGTTTCCTCACACCTTATATACCTTTCTCTGCCCTGCCATATTACTTCCTGGGATTAAAGGCATGTGTGCTTCCCAGGAAAGGCATGAGATCTCAAGTGCTGGGATTAAAGGTGTATGCCACCACTGCCTGGCTCTGTTTTCTCCCCTATACTGGATCAGTCTCATGTAGTCCAGTGTGGCCTTGAACTCACAGAGATCCAGACAGATCTCTACCTCCGGAGTGATAGGATTAAAGGTGTATGCCACCACTGCCTGACCTCTATGTCTAATCTAGTGGCTGGCTCTGTCCTCTGATCCTCAGGCAAGTTTATTAGGGTACATAAAATATCACCACACAGTGCCTAGTGTTAGCCACTGAAAGTGCATGAAGAGCAAGCTTTTCCATCTACCATGCTAGGAATAATTGGTGTAAAAGCGAATAATAACTTTCATGCAGATGTAAGCAGAGTACTGTGCCCAGCAAAATTAAAGCTTTTAATTAACATGCTACAAAATTGCCTTTTGCTTAAAGGCAAAAAACCCTATGGAATTTGAGAGAGGGAACTTTCATAACCGTCACCACAGTCAGACTAAAAGATAGTTCAAACATCCAGAATCTTAACCCTGACCTTGTCCATCGAGTCCCTGATACTGCAGTTCAGTCTTTGTGGTTGATTAGACTTGGTGGTGGTGTTTTTCTGTGGTCTTTGTCTTTTCAAGGTATCACTATGTAGCTCTGGTTGGCCTGGAACTCACTTATGTAGACCAGTCTGGCCTTGAACCCACAGCGATCTGCCTCTCTCTGCCTCCTAAGTTCTGGCAATAAAGGCATGTACTGCCAGGACCAGTCAAGGATGACTTTCATGGGATCATTGGGATGTTGCATCTGATACTGATGGTTTCCACCCAGCATAATGCTTTTGAGATGGTTCCGAATTATTTTGTACACTGGTAGTTTATTCCCTTTCATTCTTGATCGGTATTTCATTGTAAAGGTTTACAACTATATACCAATCTCTTATTGAAGGGCATTTGTGTTGTCCCCAGTTTTTTTTTTATTTTTAATTAACTTTTAATATAGCATACAAAATAATGAGCTTTGGCATGGCATTTTCTTAGATATGTGTCGTTGCATTTTGTTCTAATTCATTTCCCTCTCCTTACCCCTCTATGCTTTTCAGATTAATTCAGAGCATAGTTAGTATTTGGTCATTTGGTTGACTGGATGTGGGATTTTATTATTGTTTACTCCCAAAGGAAAGGGAAGGGGAAGAAAGAAGAAGAAAAAGTGAAAGAGGAAGAAGAGGTCATGGCAATGCCCAAAATGACAGAAAGCAGCCCCGACAAAGAATGGTACCCACCTCTTGACCCCGAGTTCTGTGTGTATGTGTTCGAGGTGACCAAGTCCATCCTGCCCATCGTCAACATTAAGGACCAGATTGAGACCCTGGCCAAGTGAGTCTCTCCATCCCCATCTCCCCTCCCGTCTTCTCTCTCTGTGTATATTTATTTCTGAGTCACTTTTAAAAAGCTTCAGTGGTTTGCTTTTTTAAAAGTTAATTTGGAATAAAACCAACAAAATAAACCGCAGTGGTTGATGGTGCCTGAGCTCTGACTCCACAGCAGAAGCACAATGAATTAAAGGTGTTCTTCATTTCTGTGAAGCTGCATTTCTGTGAGGAATGAGAGCTGAAGTTGCTTAGAGACAAATGGCCTGTGTTTTCTTCTAGCTAAGCTGTTAAAAAGCATCTTTGATATGATCATAGAGAAGTTGTGAGTGAATTTGTGTTAAAAGTTAAATCATTCCTTAGGTGTAGGGGGTAGTCATCCTTTAAAGGCATCCTATTGTGGATTCTCTATAAACTCACTCATTGCTCTTTTTAAAGCACAAATAAGCATCTGCTTTCCTGATGGGTGCTAGTTTGCTTGCTATTTCTCTCCAGTGGGCTGTGGGCATTCTGAGAGCTTGCTGCAGGGCAGACTAGAGAACTCTGTGTAAGCCTGGGGAAGTTGTCCTCCTCCTTCCTGTTAAAGAGGCTGAGGCTGGGGACAGGACTGTGAGGGAGCTGGAAAGACTAGAAATGGGGGATGGGCTCCACGGCTGACACAACCCAGCAGGGGGGCTTCTGGCTCCAGCAACAGCTGCAGTCTCTGTGGGAGCTCTATCCGCTCCAGGTGGGAGTCAAGCAGCAGTCCTCAAACTTGGAAGTGACAACTGTAAACCTCACAGCTGCCAGATCACCGACTTCTGTCAGCCAGGACTAGGGGAGAATGAGGGCGTGTGGCCATCGAAGGATTTCCGTGTCCTTGAGACGTGATGACTCTCGCAGAGCTCTGATTCGAGTCCTGTGAACATTTGTCCGATGCCTCCCAGCACCGTGTTCCTGGCTGAGGCTCTCCTCCTCGTTTCTGAATCACCTTATTTTCAAACATGAATGGGTGATGACAAGTCGTGGCAGAGGGCTGTTCCACTACGTGACAGGCTGTCACGTGACGGGTGGATTGACAGCTCTGCGCCACATCCCTGACTTAGGTTTTATTTAGCTTTGGGGTTTTCCTTTGTTTTGGTTTTGTTGCTCTGGTTTGTTTTGCTGTGTTTTGAGTTTTGTTAGACAGTATTCCTCATAGTACAGCCAAAGGCCAATCTTTCCTTTAAATTTTCAATTCTTCCCTTTCTCCTCCTGAATGTGTTCTTAGTTACAGGAATTTTTGGAGATGTGTTTATTGACATTACCCTAAGAGATCCTACTATTTTGGTGGGTGGGGGGGAACCTCAAAAACAAAGTACCCCAATTTCTTCATCTCCCACCCATCTGCTACCCTCCATACATTTCCTCATCTCCCACCCATCTGCTACCCTCCATACATTTCCTCACCTCCCACCCATCTGCTACCCCCCATATGTTTTTCTTCTTTCTCTTCTTCCTCTCTCCTTTGATACCAGTATTATATAATACCATATCTTTCGTCATTAAAAAGATAAATTTTAAATGAAAAAAAATTATGAAATTTACACTGCTTATAAGCCCAGTCTTTAGGAGGCAGAGGCAGGAGAAGCCTCAGAAGGGCAAGGCCAGCCTGGGCCACATGCTGAAATCTTATCTCAAGAGAATAGGTATCCCCCCCACCCCCACTTGAAAATGTCCACGAGTTTTAGTGGACAGCTTGACTAGGTTCCTCTTGCTTTTGAGTTGAAATGCCTTGCAAGAAGAAAGCCCACCAGTTATTAAATCCTTCACATCCAGACTAAAACACTTAGTGTTGTTCAAGAATAAGATAAAGATTTAAAGTTACATTATAATTAGTGTGGTAATCATTTGTCTTGTGTTCTACCCATTGGGAGGGACCTTAGCCTTCATTTTCTTCTTTGCACTGGATTAAATCAGCACAATTTTAGTTTATAAATGTATTTGTGATTGTCTCAGATGATGATTATTCCCTGAAAGTACATTTTTTTTAAAGTAAAGCAAACAAAAAACAGAGGATATGTAGTTTTTACATGCGTAATTGTATACATAAATCATACATAAACCATCCAAAGTAAGTGATTAAAATTGTTTTTCATCTCAATGTAATGGGCACAGGTATGTGGCAGATAAAATGGGCGGTAGGATTCCAAAAGAGAAGCTATCTGATTTCAGCTGGGAACTTCACATAAGTGAGCTGAAATTTCAACTGAAATCCAATGTCGTTCCAATTGGATATATCAAGAAAGGAATCTTTTATCATCGAGCTTTGCTTTTCAAGGTATTTAAAGTGTTTTTGTCTCATTTTCCATTAGATTAAAAAGTTTTGTCTTTATCTCATCAGACTGAGTCAGTTGCTAACATTTAACTGTACAATATTAATCTTTGCATTTATACTTATTTAGTTTTAAATATCTGTGATTATATATACATATATGTACACACACATGGATAAATAATATCAAATTTTCATTAGGTAAAAAAAACAACAACTTTCTAAATGATATGAACATCTACACATAGAATAACACTGCCTTGCAAATCAGTGGTCCTTTTAGGGAATGCAGAGGAGATCATCTAGATAGCAAGAGGAAGAGAGAAAGAGAGTGGGCATAAAGTTGAAGGCCTGATATAAAGTATTAGATAAGTCTGCCCTTCACCCTAAAATGTGAGTAACCACTAAAAATTGTCAGAGAGGAAGAATGTGATTTTGAAAGACCATTCAGGCTGTAGAGGGGGGCATGAATTAGAACAGACACAAACTAGAGACAGGATGACCTATTAAAAGATGTCTGGACAGTGAGTACAAGTGACTCACACTATAGACACGTTACTCCGTATGGAAGGAGAATGAAGCTGAGAAGACTTTGGATGTAGCAACCAAAAGGATGTGGTAGTTGCCTGAACGTGGTAGGGGAGATGCCTGGGAAGAGCAGACTGACCCCATGTCCAGGGAAGGGCAAGCAAAGAAGACAGCCCCCTTCACCGAGACTGAGCACTAGGGAAGTGTGAGGCTTAAGAGAGTGTGGTCTTGATCCGCTGGGTAGGAACTGAGAAAACGCTCCCAGAACATAGAGACCAAATGATTAAATTCCGTCCATCTCTATTAGTTACTTTTCTCCTTTCTGTGACCAACTACCTGGCAGGAAGCAATTTAAGGGAAGAAGGGCTTGAGAGTTCAGTCCACCGGGGCATGGGAGGTATGGCAGCAGCAGCTGGTAACACTGCACCCAGGGTCACGGAGAGAGAAAAATGTTGATGTGAAGCTCTGTTTGTTCTTTTTCTCACCTTTATGCTGTCTGGGACCCCAAGCCCATGGGATGGTGCTGCCCACATTCAGAGTGGGTCTTTCTTTGTCCTTCTTCAGTTAAAACTCTTCGAAATTTCATTACAAAATACCCTGAGGCATGTCTACTAGGTGATTCTAAAGCCACTTAAGTTGACAATGAGCTACTACCAGTCTACCACTTACCAGTTGAACAACCAAACTCATCATTTTAAGTGAAAATATTCCATATCTCATTCTGAAAGACTCATGGGCATCTCATGATGCAAACTGTACTTAGTTATGTGTAAGAAATCTTAACAGTCCTATTATTGTTCAAAAGTCCAAAGTCTCTCCTAAGGGTCAAAGCAACCTCTTAACTACGATGCCTGTAAAAACATTTTTTCAAACTGCATAATTCTAACATATAATGTCACAGAATAATCCTTGCTATTCCAAGAGGGAGGAACAGGAACACAGTAAGAAAAGACTGGGTCAAAGTATGACCAAACCTCAACAGAGAGCTGGGTATTATGGCTCTTAGCACTTGGGAGGCAGAGGCAGGCAAATCTCTGAATTCAAGGCCAGTCTGGTCTACAGACTAACAGGTAGGACTATACAGAGAAACCTTGTCTTGAAAAACTGAAACAAAAACCTCAACAGGGAACACGGCAATTCCTACACCACCATGTTCAGCATCCAGGACTTGTAATAGAACCGACTGGGCTTCTGCAGCCCCGCCCCTCCAGCTCTGTCTCCTGCAGCACATGACTGACCACTCTCTTGGACAAGTTGTGTTCTGTAGCTGCAGCTTTCCTTGGCTGAGGGCCCATGGTCTTAGCATTTCCAACACCTTGGGGCCTCTACTTGTGTTGGTTTGAATGAAAATGTCCTCCATAGGCCCAAGGGGAGTGGCTCTATTAGGAGGTGTGGTCTTGTTGGAGTAGGTGTGGCTTTGTTAGAGGAAATGTGCCACTAGGGATAGGCTTTGAGGTCTCAGATGCTCAAGCCAGGCCCCATGTCTCAATCTCTTCCTGCTGCCTGAGGATCTGGATGTAGAAGTCTTAGCTACCTCTCCAGCACTATGTCTGCCTGCATGCCACCATACTTCCCGCCTTGCCTGAGGATCCAGATGTAGAACTCTTAGCTACCTCTCCAGCACCATGTCTGCCTGAATGCCACCATACTTCCTGCCATAAAAATAATGAACTCAACCTCTGAGCTGTAAGCCAGGCCCAGTTAGTTGTGTCCTCAGAAGAGTTGCTGTGGTCATGGTGTCTCTTCACAGCAATAAAACCCAACTGAGACACCACTGTAGCTTGGGGTTTATCTTCACAGGTTCCCACGTGGCATCTCACAATAAGTCTTCCCTCCTCAATTAACCTGTTTGGAAATGCCCTCAGAGATGTATCCAAGGTGTGTCACAAGTAGACAAATACTGTTAGCCATTGTCTTGGCTAGGGTAACTATTGCTATGATGAAACACTATGACCACAAGAAAATTGGGGAGGAAAGGGTTTATTTGACTTACACTTGATTGTGGTGTAACGCAAACAGGGCAGGAACCTGGAGGCAGGAGCTGATGCAGAGATCATGGAGAAGTACTGCTTACTGACTTGTTCCTCATGGCTTGCTCAACTTGCTTTCTTATAGAACCCAGGACCACCAGCCCAGGGGTGGTTCCATCCACAGTGGGCTGGACCCTGCCCCATCAATCACTAATTAAGAAAATGCTCTCCAGACTTGCCTACAGCCTAGTCTTATGGAAGTATTTTCTCAGTGGAGGCTCCCTCTTCTCAGATGACAGTAGAATGAAACTGTCCACAACATCATCCAAGTCTCTTCTGTTTTTTCTTCAAAAACTTCCCAGGATAGGATCTTCACTTGTCCCCAAATAGTGCCTAAATGCCTAATAGTCACAGATTCCTGCATCCATACCTCAGATCTCTCAATTCCAGATCTTTCTGTCAGATCACTTTCCAGTTAGTTCCATGTGAGAACCTTATGGGCACTGTGTTAGCTTAGTTGCTATAACAAAACACCACAAGGCAGGAGATCGCATCTCTTCCTGTTTGCCTGTTTGTTTGAGACAGAGTCTCTCTTCATAGCCCTGTCTGTCTTAGAACTCATTCTGTAGACCAGGTTGGCTTCGAACTCACAGAGATCTGCCTGCCTCTGCCTCCTGAGTGCTGGGATTGAAAGTGTTCGCCATCACACCCGGCAATTCCTGTTTTTGTAAGGGCAGTAATTCCTGGGGAGGGAGGTCTGACCCTATGAGCCTCTAAGCCTAGTCACCTCCCTGAAGATTCACCTCCAAAAACATTAGAACTTAGGGCTTCAGCATACGGATTTGGGAGGCCACTCAAATATTCAGTCCCTAACTCCTTAGGCCAACCTGAATTCATTGCCTTCATATGCTACCTGTGTCATGCAATTAACTCCTCAACATTCCGCCCTGACATCCTGAGCATGGCCTTCATGAATCTTTTGCCCTTTACCCTCTCCACATGTGTTCTTCATCCCGTTTTCTCCCAGGCTGATGGCCCTTGTTGGGCGTTACTCGCCCTGCCCTTAGGTGTTCTGGATACACTGACCACTGCCTCGCTCATTTCCCTCCTCTCCTGTCTGTCTCTCACTGCTGCCATGCCGGCCAGCCTGGACCGGTTGTCAGTCCTGTCTACTCTGACGCACAGGCTGCAGAACATGACACGGGTGTCTCCATTTAGGAGTAGGTGTGTGTCCGTCCTGTTCCGGCTTGTCACGGACATTCTCCTGATCTCTCCAGCAGCTAAGCCCCACTGCTCCCCTTCCTTCTGAGAGCTGGAGACCTTTGTGTATTTCTCATTATAGGGAAAATAGATGTTCAGACACAAGCTCATGCGCTCACTCACCAGCTCCCAAGGTTGTGTTCACTCACTCACCAGCTCACAAGGTTGTGTTCATTCACTCACCAGCTCACAAGGATGTGTTTACTCACTCACCAGCTCCCAAGGTTGTGTTTACTCACTCACCAGCTCACAAGGATGTGTTCACTCACTCACCAGCTCACAAGGTTGTGTGCACTCACTCACCAGCTCACAAGGATGTGTGCACTCATTCACCAGCTCACAAGGTTGTGTTCACTCAACTCACCAGCTCACAAGGTTGTGTTCACTCAATTCACCAGCTCACAAGGTTGTGTTCACTCAACTCACCAGCTCACAAGGTTGTGTTTACTCAATTCACCAGCTCACAAGGATGTGTGCACTCACTCACCAGCTCCCAAGGTTGTGTTCACTCACTCACCAGCTCCCAAGGTTGTGTTCACTCAATTCACCAGCTCCCAAGGTTGTGTTCACTCAATTCACCAGCTCACAAGGATGTGTTCACTCACTCACCTTTTCACAAGGTTGTGTTTACTCACTCACCTTTTCACAAGGTTGTGTTCACTCAATTCACCAGCTCACAAGGATGTGTTCACTCACTTTTTCACAAGGATGTGTTCACTCACTTTTTCACAAGGTTGTGTTTACTCAGTCACCTTTTCACAAGGTTGTGTTCCCTCACTCACCAGCTCCCAAGGCTGTGTTCCCTCACTCACCAGCTCCCAAGGCTATGTTCACTCTCTCACCAGCTCACAAGGTCACTGCACATAGGAGGCAGATACTTGATTCTTCCTTTAGGTCACTATCTGCAGTGACCTTGAGAAAGTACCGGACTGTGATAATCCTTTTTCACCCTGATGGACAGCCCACAAATAACGACACGGAGACGTATTATTAATTATGAAAGTTTGTCTTATGCTTAGCTTGTCCCACTATCTCTTATAACTTAAATTAACCTGCTTCTATTAATCTACATTTTGCCACATGGCATTCTTTCATTCTGAATGTCCAGCTCCCTCTGTGTCTCGTTGGCATCTCTTGGCGTAATCCATGTGCCTAGATTCCTCCTCCTCTTCATCTCTCTCTCCAGAAATCCCACCTGTCTCTCCTACCTACCTATTTTGGCCATTCAGCTCTTTATTAAACCAATCACAGTGATTGTTTACATCGGTGTAAACAAATATTCCGAAACACTTGACATCAGCTTCACTCTGTAAAATGGGGGATAGTAATATACTGTAGTGATTTAAAGTTCTTTGACAGGAAATAAGAGACATACCACTAAATGTTACCCTGGAAAACATCACACACACACACACACACACACACACACACATACACACACACACACACACACACACACACACACACACACACACACACACACACACGGTCTTTGCATCCCATTGGGTGATACAAGGGATTTGTAGTACAGCTGAAAAGTTTTAAAATTATTTTAAAGATATTTAAAAGGAAAATAAAAGAAACCTCCAAATCAGGGGAATCAGGGTACCCCAGAGAGATTCCTGCAGTGAGGTGGTTACAGAAAGCCAGAGAGCTAGTTGTAGTCGGGGGTCTCCTTGGGACTACAAGGGTGATAGATATTGATGCCGTTTGTTCTGTGGTCACTGTTTTCTAGGCCATCTCCAGCTACAGGACAACCAATATCAACAATAAGAGTCCTGGAAATGACCACCAAGGTTCATCATTTGGGCCTATTCCGAACTATGCAGTCTGGTGCAGTCATTGCATATTTAATTAAAATATTAATTAATAATATTAATATACCCGCTATGAAAACACAATTCTGTTCCCCTGGTGCTATCTAGCCTTTGTTGAGTACTTACTCTTGGGACTTGGCGCCCATTAATTCATCACTCAACCATGAAGCTACCATGATTCTCCCCAGCTCACAAAGGAATAAATGGAAGCCTGGGCTTGCAAATCGCTTCGCTTATAGTCACTAGTTGGTAAGAATCTGGGTTAAACTGAAATGCAAACCAAGGCAGCCTAAGCCAAGCTCTTCTTTCCTTTATAGTACAGCGGAAAAGTTTTTAAATTATTTTAAAGATACTTAAAAGGGGGAAAACCCTCCAAATCAGGGGGAACCAGGGTACTCCAGAGAGATTCCTGCAGTGAGGTAGTTGCAGAAAGTCAGGTAGTTGCAGTTGGGGGATCTCCTGCCCCGTGGTACCTTCCACATCGCACGGCAGACTGGCTGGAAATGGGACTTCCTTCAGTCTCTCCGCCTATTAGAGCCAAAGAGCAGCCTAGGATGTGGACAGACTGGTGGGTCCACAGGCTGGATCCCTGGGATAGGTTCCCTCCAACCACCCTATCTATCCATCTACTCCAGGACACTGACACACACTAAGTCTACAGATGACATGCCATCAGGGACAGCCAATGCTCGGCTCCTACTGCACTGGTCTCCATTTTCCACCTTCCAGTCCAACATTTTCTTTGCATGCCTGTGTTTAACTCTCTCCAAAGGTCCGTCTCCACTAAGGGTCGCTTGCCACCTGCTTGCCTACGGCCCTGAGCCCCAGCTGTCTTGTTCCTCCCTCAGGCACTGGCTGATAAAATCGGTGTGGGCTGCTGCCTGGTGCGTGGTGAGTACAGCCGAGCATGGAACGAAGTGAAGCTGCTGAACGAGGGTCGGAAGGGCGTCACTGGGAGCCTGCCCCCACCCGAAGAGTTCATCGTGGATCTCATGTTCCACCCGGGGGCCCTGCTGAAGCTCCGCAGCAAAGAGGCAGACCTCTACCGCTTTCTCTAGTCACCAAAGGAGCTCAGAAGCGCTCAAACCGGAAACTGGCTCCACGTGCTTTCTAAGAAGGGCACTCGCTGATTCGAGAACTTCAAATAAAGGAATTGGAAATGGTTTGTGTGTCGAAATACGCTGTGGGTGCGACTGTGCGCTGGTGCTCTGGATTCCAGGCTGTGGAGTTCAGGATCGGTCAGGGCCTCCCTCACATGCTCCCCCATCCTCACACAAGGTTATTGTGGGTGAAACCGTTCAGCCCTCAGAGTTTAGAAATCATCAATGAAGGCACCGCGCAGCTGCTTCCTGTGACGGAGTGGGCTTGTCACCGTCCCTCTTGGTATCCAGATGAGTCAGATAATACCTGGTTTAAATAAACTCAGTCAATTTGTACTGTCTCAGTCACCGTGTCTGTCTTTAAGATTTGAGACTCTAGTATTTCAAAGTGCTTTCCAAGAGGTTTTCAGTAACTAGACAATAGGTTTCTCCTAAAACTGTAAACCAGATCAAGCCGAATTGGAACAGCAAAAGAACAGGTATATTTGAGCAAAGCAACTCCCAGGTGAGCCCTTCAGCCCCACAGATGGGGCTGAAGAAGTCATGTGGCGGAACTAAAGCAGGAAGCATATATACCCTGTAGGCTAGGGGGTGATGATGTGATCTCCACAAGCTGGGTTTGTGCCCAAGTATGATCAAAAACTGACGGCTTTAGGAGGGGTCTTGGGCTGCAGGCAACTTCAGGGGAGGAGCTGCTGTAGCCTCCAAGAATGCAGAACTGGGCTTTTGGCGCCTTTTCTTTGTTGGAGATTTTCTGAGAGGGTGGGGTTTGGAGGGGGGAGAGAGGGGGGGAGGGGAGGGGGAGGGGAGAGAAGAGGAGAGAGAGGAGGAGAGAAGAGGAGGAGAGAGTGGAGGAGAGAAGAGGAGGAGAGGGAGAGAGATTCTCAGTCCATGCAGGAGTGAGCTGAAGGTTCCAGCCGCGAACACTTCTAACTTCATTGTTCATGTTTATTTGTTATTTTTTGTTTATTATTTGACTTGTATTGATTCTTTGTGGATTTCACATCATGCATTCCAATCCCACCCCTCTCCCGGTCCCCTCGAATTTGTCTTCTGCCCCTGAAATCTCCCCTCCAAAACAAAAGCAAATTTAAAAGGAAAATCAAAGACTAAGCAAAAGAAAAACAAAACAAAACAAAACAAAACACACACACGCATACACATACACACACATCTTGTCTCGAAAGCTGTAGTGTGGCTGTTGAGCAACACAGTTTAGCCTTTAGTCCATTCATCTTTACTTGTATTGTACCCATTTCACGAAACCCCCAGAGACCACCAAAGAGCCTGTTTCCGATGCAAGCACATAAGGGTCCTTTTATTGTCAGGTTCAACCTGGGCCACCGCACGGCAGATGGAAGGAAATGTTGCAGGTGGCCACGAGCCCTAGTGTAGAGAGATTTTTATAGGGAAAAACCACAAGCCAAGAATTACATGCTTGGAATTGGGTAGAAGGGATATGGTGCAAGGTGGTTTTTTTTTTGCAACTATTGGTCTGGACTTTCGGCGCAAAGCCATATTTGAAATTATTGGATTGTACTTTGGGCGGGAAACCACAACCCACTGAACAGGATTATCTGGACTGCTCAGCAGGATTATCTTGATAGCTTCAAGGGCTATAAACCGCAGACAGAATGTCTACAGAAACATACTGCCCTGTATCTGTTCAAGTCGTCATGGCACATTCCTGAGGTCCTTCCTGGAACTGAGTACAGCAGGTGGTCTAAGATGGTGGCCCTACCCTAAGATGGAGTCTGCATTGCCTCCACACTTTCAAGTGTTCATTGCCATGAGTCATCAGTGTGGCTGGAGGCCTCTGGCTTCTGCCTTGCCACCAATCATAAGTCACTGGGGCTCCTCCTGGACATCCTGTTGTTGTCCTGGGTCATAGAGATGCTGCTGTTCTGGACCTGCAGGTTCATTCCCTTCATGGTGCTCCAACAATTCACAGATGAGGTGGATGTTGGGGTGGACCAACGCACAGCCCTGGTTCTGGGCCTGGGTGGTAGCTGAGCTGGTCAGACCACCAGCCCTCCCTCACCCCTACCACCCAGGCGAGCTCTCCAGCACTGCCTTGGCTAGCTCACCCAGTGCAGCCTGCAACAAGGACTGGGACCAGTTTTCCTGCTCTAGGAACCTCAGATCTGGGCCACCCACACTCACACCACCAGGGCCAGCTCCACTGCTTTGTCCAGGTAAAGTGCAGGGCCCTCTCTCTCTCTTTTGCTGTAAGGGGCATTATGGGGAGGGGAGACAGGGTCAGCTGTCCTGCTCTCAGGCCCTCAGGGCCGACTCACCAGTGTCCACAACAACAGGGTCAGCTCTAGAGTGCTGATGGGGGGGGGGGGTGCAGGGCCTGCTCTCCTGTGTGCTGCAGCTGGAGAGGGGCAGGGCTAATTCTCTCACCCTCATGACCTAGGGGCCAGCTCTCTCTCTTGCCTGCTGGTGGTAGCAAGGGGTGGGAAGGGGGAGGGCATCTTTCTCTCACCCATGCCACCACATGGCAGACAGGGGGTGGGGGTGGGTGAGTCAGCTGTCCTGCTCTCACACCCTCAGGGTCTGCTCAGCTGTATCCCTGATCACAGGGTCAGCTCTAGTGTGATACCCAGGTAAGGTGCATGCCTGTGGTAAGGGGTGGGGCCATCTTTCCCCAGTGTGTGTGTGTGTGTGGGGGGGGTGTCCAGCTCTCCCCTGAGGGGAAGGGCCAGCTCTCCTGCTGCAGTATCCAGTGAGGGCAGGGCCACCTATCCCAAGGCCAGTGAAGGGCAAGGCTGGTTCAGCCTATCATGGTTCTAGTAATTCCTGTGATAACACTGGCCAGGGACGCACCATTACAGATTCCATCTGCAGGATCACGAACTCAGACATGGCCCTCAGCAGCATTTTGGGTGTGGATGTCACCATGGCCCTGGTGGCAGCACAGGCCACCCAGATGAATATGGTCCCAGTGGCAGCATGGCCCATGGGCACCAACATGGCATCAGGTGGCTGACCGGGAACCTGGTCATCCACACTGCCCTCAGTGGTAACAGGAACCACAGACATCACCTCAGACCCTGGCTGCTGTAGGGCCATGGACCCAGACATGACTCTTAGCAGCAGCCCTGGCTCAGATGACTCCATGGCCCCAGGTGACAGTGCAGTCCACTCAGACCAGCATGGCCCTGGCAGTGGCATGGCCCTTGGACACCCTCATGGCCACAGGCTGCTGTCTAGACCCCAGACATCTGTGTGGTCTTTGGTGGCAACATGGGCCAGGAACCTCAACATACACTCCAGTTGTAGTAGGACCATGGACCCAAACATAGTCCTCTGCAGTGGCTGGGGCCAGGATGTCACCATAGCCCTAGGTGGCAGCACAGGCCACTCAGATTGGCATGACCTCACTGCAGCATGGCCCTTGGATAACATGTTCCCAGGTGGCAGCCCAGACTACAGGGCTCTGCAAGGCCCTCAGTGGCAACAGGAGCCACAGATATCAACACAGGCCCCTTTGGCTGCTTCGGGCCCTTGGACCAAGACCTGGCCCTTGGCAATAGCCCAGGCCTAGATCACAGTGGGCTCAGGTGGTGGCAAGCAGCTGTTCACATCAGCCTGTTCCTTACCCTCACCTCTTCAGATCCAGCTCTCTCCCCAGCCCACATTCTGCCTCTCTCTTTCTTCTATTTCCCGACTTGTACCTTATCGGGGACTATGGGGGTCCAGCCCCTGGATAGTCCCCTCCCAGGGTCCGGGAAGAATCTACAACCAGCTGATAATTAATCTTTGATGAGAAGAAATAAATCTATGTACACAAAACTCCTTAGTCCATACACTTCATTATTCTGTGTCAGTTACAAGCTTATATTCTGCTCTCATATTTAGCTCATTTTTAGCCTGATTTCTCTCTACACTTGTCTGCGGTCCCCTCTAGGTTCTATCTTAATTCCTTCATCTAGTTCTGCCCCTTCTAGGTTCTCATCCATCTTGTTCTTTCCCATCTCCTTCTCCTCATCTCGTTCTTCCTCAACTTGTTCTTCCCCATCTAGTACTTCCCCATCTGGCTCATCCTCATCTTCCATCTCATTCCCCTAGTACTCTCTTCTAGCCCTTCAATCTAATTCTTCCCCATCTCAGTTTGTTCCTCTCAAGTTCTTACCCATCTAGTTCTCCCATTCTCTTTTCTCTTCTCTGACCCTCTGTGCCCTGGAAGTCCTTATCTAAAGACAGGCTTCCAGGGTCAAACGGAAGGGTGATAAGAATCACATTGAGAGGCAATAACCATTAATTATCATTTGCAACCCCAAAGGGAAGTGACCAATGGGGAAATGAATTAACTAAAGGCTGAATTCAGGTAATATCTAAGAAGAGGGATCTTATGTGCACAACTATAATCTTAAACGTGATTGGTAGAAAATGTTAAGAATCTATAAGTTGCTAGGTCAATGGGAGAAAATAAAACTGTCTTCTTTTTTCCTGTGGCTCCTATCTGTCCAAGCTATCTGCCGTTTTTCTGCAGGGTGGGGGAAAGTGTGCTCAGTCGCTAGGCAACCTGTGTACAGCTAGATGCCTCTGGTGATAGTTAAGGGAGATCTGGAACTGGAGGTAAGGTTTGGGAAAGGAGGAAGTAAGGCTTAATTGGCACATCCGCCAGGCCTTCTCAAACAGGTAGCCTGGATGGTTAAGTCTGTTCTTAGAGAATACAGAGGTATCTCTGATAAAGTACTCTCCTCCATCTGGGGATGGACCTGGCCGGATGCTGCTAATGATGATAATTACAGGGAGGCTTGAACTGGGGTTCTGGCTGAGCATAGCTGTCAGCGCAGAAGGTTATCCAAATATTCCTAGAAGTGGTTAGATAAGGAGTTAGAGGTCTATAAAGTTAGTAAGGCTGTAAGAAAGGAGGATCCGAGCTAAATTGTGTAAAGCTATTACTTAACGTCCACCTGACCTAGGTGGTGTCTCCTTGTGGAATTTGTCTTAAATCAGGAGACTTGCATGTGGACTGTTATTACTGCTAGTCCTTGAAAGCGGCCAAGGGAGATATCTGATTCCAGAGAAAGCCTTTCCTGAGGCAGTTCTCC